ACAAACCAAATCCGTTTCAACTTTCAAATGGGCTTATAATATAGGAGTTTAATTGGGAATTGCGGTTCATAGGGCCCAAATCCTTTCCATTTGATTATTAATTATTATTCTAATATTGGGTAAATACAAATATTAAATAACATATTATTAAAAATAGGTTACCTAAATAATATTAGATAAATAGAATATTAAATCCGTTTTTTTTCTAGTATAATATCTTTAAAGCAATTAATAGAGTATATTATTTTAATTGGTTGAAATTTCAATAATTTAAAAAGTAATAAAACTAAATAATAAATTAAATGTGTTGGTATAATAAAATATAGAAGTATATATACATAGAGGTTGGTTATTATACAACTATTTACATTTGTACAACCAATACAACTCAATCTTAACCGTCCATTTAATTTGATGAATATGTAATTTTATAAAAATTTTGATTGTTTCCTAATATAAAATATTCATCATAATTAATGAACCATATTCATGTTCCATAAATATTCAAATCATAATAAATAAACTCTCATCATTTTTATAAATATCTCAATTAATTGGGTTGCATTGGTTGTACAAATTGACATGATTGCATTTGAAATATACCCTATATACATATTCATAACTAACTTTTTAAAACAAATTAATATACATTAAAAATAGAGTAAACTTCAAATTTGATCTATGTGGTTTGTCAAAAAAACAATTTTTGTTTCTGCAGTTTCGAAATTACAAGATTATCATCGTCGTTTGTAAAATTGTTGTGATTAAGTCCTTTTATCTAACGCCCGTTAAGTAAGAGACATTTTCGTTCTTTTATCTATTTGTTGTCTTTTATCCAATCAAAATTGATTTTATGATTTTTTTTTATCTCCATGGTTTTTGATTGGGTAAAAGAGAAAAGATCGATAAAGGGATGAAAGTGCCCTCACTTAACGGAATTTTTAATAGGCATTAAAGAAATGATGCAAAACACGATGGTAATCTTGTAATTTCAAAACCGGTAGAAAAATTTAGCACTTTTCGGTTGAAGATGGTCTTATAACTTTGCTAATAGACAATGCATCTTTTTTTTTCTTTTGATTAACTTGAATATCCAACCCGCTATGTGAGCCGACTAATCACAGGGCGACCACCTGCTTTGCAGATAGCCCAGAGTCGCCGCATTTGAACTTCCGTGGCCACAAGAGGATTTTTATTTCTTCTTGGATTTGAACCTGGGACCTCCTGGTACAATGCATCTTCTATTTTTATATGATTTACCTAATTTTAAATACATCATGACCATTATGAAACCTATAATTATATGCACGTTGCTATCATGTTGCTATCATGTTGCATTGCATGAGTTTAGTTCATCCTTCATCTAACAACCATTTTTTTTCCCGTTAGCTCCAATCAAAACGAAGCCATTTTAAACATTTTGCATTTTCTAACTATTTAAAAGAAAATCACAGAAAACAGAAAAAAAAAAAAAACCTAAACCTAAGTGATCGTTTTGCTTTATGAAATGTTTTAAAGTTCTAGATTTCGTTAAAGAATTTGGAATCTTTGATAAATTTTGTTTATAAAATTTGTAATGAAATTGAACTCTATTATTTGGAGATAATTTATAAAAATAAATCATAAATAGTTATGAAAATAAATAAAATACCTTTTATTAATTTATATTTTTAAAAAAATGACTTTTAACACTTTTGTAACATTATTACAAAAAAAACCTTAAAGAATCCCGTGAAATACCAACTAATCCCATGGGATTTATAAATCCATGATGTTTATAGGATTTTTGTTCCATATTTTCATTTAAACCAAACACGATATTCAAATGGAATCCAATTTCAAATCTTATAAAATCCCGCAAATCGAACAAAGGAACAAACGGTTAAAGCTGAGACCCCTCTTTTCTCTTCCATTGCCTCTTCTCTGTCATGATGACATCGCAAACTCGGATAAAGATTTTATTTTAAGGTCTCATTGACCGATTTAATGGGTAACCGATTATCTCAACTGATGTGACAAATTTACTATTAAAAAGAATATTACATGGATAATTAAAAAAAACATCTCATCCATGATAGAATTAAAAAAAGAAATTGAATAACGAATTGATATCTACATGTCATCGACATTCCAAACAAAACAAAACGACACCCTCCCACTCTTCTTCCTGAAAACACCACTGGTGCATCTCTGGCCTCCCCTTCCGTCAACCTCCTTCAAACTTGTCAAATTCAAAAATCAACTCAGTATTATTTTGCTAAACCGGATACGTCACATCAGCATGGTAATCAGTTAATGTTTCAACCGGTTATTCGGGTATTTAAATGTTTAAAACTTTACATTTAAGTACAAAAATAAAAGTTTTGAAAGTACGTTACCCAAAGTAGGAATCAAGTTAAAGTATGTTACTTTTTCATGCAATTTGCCCAAAAAACAAATACCCATTTCAGTTCCAACAATTTAAGTCATCAAATTCGAAGCATGGATAGATAGACTACTCCAACATTGAGTTTATAGAGAACTCATATGTAAAATAGTACAAGGTGGTGTTATGGGTTTTGAAATGGCACTAAGTTACCCAGATGGAGAAGGATGAACGAGAAAGGAGTTTTGGTCCCCTTATGGCATGATTGTCGGTACCTTCAACGATGGGATTTTGGTTCGACAGAGTGATGCGAGAGCGAAACAACGGAGCGATGGGAACGACTAGAGGAGAAGCGATGAAGCGGGACGAATGACGAGAGAAGGAGATGATTGTTATATATTTTGGTTTCAATGAATTTTTACTTTTTATTCGGTATACTATTTGATTTATTTTTTTATTCTAATCATGGATGACGTGATTTTATTATAATTCATGTAATATTGGTTAAATAATAAATCTGCCACAGTTGAGGTAATTGATTAATTTGTTAAACGGTTTTATGAGACCCTTAAATAAATGAAGAGTTTGTTTCCGACATTAAAATGATGATTTTTAAAGTTTATTCATCAAAATGGGAATTAGGTTAAAGACGGTTCTATTTTGATGTAATTTTCCCTATCTTTATCCCACCAACAAAAATAAAGTAAATTAAAGTTTTTATATTAAGTTTATTTCATTTAAATTAACACACATTTTTTAATTACTGTATTTAGATAATTGATAGACGAGCATGGGAAATGAGAATTGGGACATAATTCCATTCTTTATATTGGTGTGCAGAAAGTTATTTGATTCAATTAAAACCGATGGACCATAATCGGATATATACCCAGTTATAATTAGATGGAATATGATCCAAATTTCAACATCTAAATTAGATCTGTAGTTTATTTGATAGCAATCCAACATCCAGTAAAACGAAATCGATCCAATCCGATAACTATCCAATACCCTATCGAATGACTCTCCAATTATCATTAAAAATACCATTAAATTAATAACTATGCGTAGTTATTAACATTTTATGATATTATTTTTTTAGTTGATATTTATATGCATTTTTTAAGAACTTAAAAAAGTATATATGAAAAATCAGCTGAAATGATCGACTGATTGATTGAAAATTGAATCAAAATATTGGATGAATCCAGTCCGATCAAATGAATAACTAACAATAATATTCAATTAATGGATTAAATTGAATCAGATGACAAAATCCAACTTCTTATGATAATTGAACTGAATTGAATTCATCTAAGGGGTTGTTTGTTTACCTCTTAATAGTTCTATTAGGTAGTGTTTGGTACGCAGACTGGACTGGAAAGAACAGGACGGGACGGGATGGTACAGGACGGGACGGGACAAGACTAATTGTCTGTCCCATGTTTGATACGACTATGATAGCACAGGACAAAACTATTAAAATGACCATATTACCCTTAAATGTTGTTCAATGTTATTTTATATCAAAAAAATTCCAAACGAACAAAATCAAGATCATTTCTATAGCATCAAAGCGGGAACTGGTTTTTATTGATTTTTGTGTAATATTCGAAGAGAATGGAAGAAGAAGCATAAGAAACTACACAAAACATAGTCTCTGTCGGCATTTTTTAAAATATATAATTAATTATTTTTTATAATAATTATATAATTAATTATTTTTATAAATTGTGGAAGAGACGGGTCAATGAAGGAGGCTGTGGTAATTATGTTTTCTATTGGAAACAAGGGTAATATAATCAATTGATATTTAGTCTCATATTGTTCCATCTTTTTTGATGGAACAAAAACCATCAAGTTTTGTCCCATGAAATTTAAAAATAGTCTCATCTTGTCCCATGTATTTTTTGTCCATGACATACCAAACACGAGACTATTTTTTTTGTCCCGTCCCGTCCCATTTAGTCTGCATACCAAATGCACCCTTAAGAGGCAACCTCTGAATCGTTAAGAGATGAATCTTGTTTGGCAAAAAAAAAAAGTCTGTCTCTTAATGGTTCTAAAACTTTCTGAATGATTTCGTATCATGTATCTCTCTTAACCATTAAGAGCCCTAATTTCATTGTACATAATTAACAAACAATTATATTTCATTTTGCACTATATCATGAGACCCTCTTAATCATTTTAACCACTTAATCATTATGCATCAAATCATTCAACAATTGTCAAATAATCTCTAAATTTCATCTTAACTATTAGAATAATTTAAATTAAATTTGTAATCTTTCATCAAGTAAAATAATTATTATTTAGAAGGCGGAATGTTCCTTAGGAATCATCTAGAATAAAAACCATTCAATCAAGAAACCTTCCAAAGAGAACGAACTTGGTTTCCATAGGCAAGCTCTTTATTTGCCACGTTTCACTCTAATAAACGCCACGTATATACCACAACCTGACGTAAGCAATCCAAATCATCCATCATCTTTCAGTACCACACCCTACGTATTACTTACACGTGGCCCTTCATCATCCACAAGTGCCACCGTGTACAACCAACTTTCTCGTTATATAAACTCCCACCCTCCAGCTGTACCTTTCCTAAAATACTCCACCACCAGGCACCAACATGCAAAATACTATTGCAAATCATCATCACGACGGAGCCATGATCACTGCCCGTCGTTATTGGACCGCCGACGAGGAGAATTCCATCATTGTCTCCGCCCTCACCAACGTCATCTGCGGCAGCTACACTGACACCAACCCCATTTCGTCATCATCTCCGGTGATTTCACTGTGTGCACATCCGATGGAAGTATGCCAGGTATGCAAGATCGATGGGTGTTTGGGGTGCAATTACTTCTGGCAAAAAGCACCACCGTGCGACGGTGGAAAACAGAGGAATGTTGCCGGTGGAAGAGGGGAGACGAAGCGGAAGAGGAAGCGGCAGTATAGGGGAGTGAGGCAGCGGCAATGGGGGACATGGGCGGCGGAGATTCGGGATCCATGGCGGAAAGTGAGGGTGTGGCTGGGAACCTTCGGGACGGCGGAACAAGCTGCCAGAGCTTATGACAGAGCCGCCATACACTTCCGTGGAGAGAAAGCCAAAACCAATTTTCCGGAGAGTGATTACCTGCAGCCGGAGCAGCGGCCGCCGGCGGTGAAAGTGGAACAAGAATGCCAGAAAAGCATGGATACGGATCATAGTTTGTGACCCGAAAGGGATCCGGTCTCCATGGTTGTGAAGTCGTTTTAGATTTAGAAGAAAGAGGAATGTGTTAGTTGGTTTGCCTTTTCAAAATAAAATATCGCGGGAAGATGTTGAGTTTCAAAGGAAATAAAGAATCCACTTGAAATAACAAATTATCAGCCTTGCTCCTCTGTCTAGTGTTAGTGTCTCAAATATATATATATAAATTTGAAATCATGGGAGATCAAGTATTTTTTGTGAGACCTATAAGATCAATTATTAATATTTGGATTAGATCTACGGTTAAACAATTTAAACATTCATAAACGCCACGAAACTTCTCAATAATCATAAAATTACCACCATACAACTTTAGACCATTATATTATTAGCTTATAAAGTTATTTAATGAATATAAAGTGGTTTTACAGATTTTACAAAAAACTCTTGGTTTCATGAGAAGCCAACCTTATATATATATATATATATATATATATATATAAAATAAAATGTCATATGTATATACATATAATATCATATATAATAATAAAAAAAAGAATCCAAAAGCTTGGGTAACAAGGTGGAAAACAGAACCGTAAATACGGTTATTATTATTATTAATTTAATTCACACCTGTCGGACCTGATCTCAAAGAATTCAAGTTTTGAGCATCTTTAAGAAATTCCTCAAATTTGATAGTAGAAATTTAAATTTATAAAATAAAAATACAGCAATTTCGATGATGATTATATTGTTAATTTTTTAATCTAATAAAATTTATTATTTTTAAAATTTATAAATTTGTATTATTAAAATATTTTTTAATTCAATAAAAATATTATTTCTCTTGCTAAATATTTATTTTAAAATGTTCATATTAATTAAATAATATTTCTATCTTATTGTAATTTCTTTAGGGTGTTCTCCAAAAAATTAGAGATTTTTTTAAGGAGTGTAAAGAAAATTACCCGATTGCCAATTAGAACCGATTGATCCAGTTAGAACCGATCAACCATAATTGGATATCTAATTGTAATTGGATAGGATTAGATTAAAAATTTCAACATCCAATTTGGATCAATCGGTTCTCGGATGACAGTCTATAACCAACCAATATATATAGATATACATACATACATATACATACATATATAGATACATGTAATATATATACACGCACACACACACACACACACATATATATATAGGGTTCAAATGATAACACCTTTGTTTTACGAAATTACGAGAACACTTCTGAGTCTCCGAATGAATCAACACATAATAAAAAATAGAATAAATGAAAATAAAAAATAAATAACACATAATAAAAAATTGAATAAATGAATATAAATTACTATTTATCCATAATTTTCTGTTATCCTATATCTATTTTTATCCTTTAAATTTTGTTATTATCACCCGAGACTTTTTATGTCGATGCGTCCGTGTCGATAATGATGCAATAATACTATAATAATAATATGATAATTATTTGATAAATTAAAGATTGTTTATGATGTGATAATCATCTAATAATTATATGATTTTGTTGTAATAGCGATGTGATAATGTTGTGATAATTGAAAACCAATGATGATCATGTATACATTGATCGAGATGTTTGTTCATTGTATGATTTTATTGTAATAATTATTTGATATTGGTTAACGTATTATACGTATCTGATTTTAGAGATAAAGATGTCACCAAAATTATAGATAAACACGAAATTAATCACATGATTGTCCTTAATTAATTACTTTATTTTCTTTTAAGTTTAATTGTGGCTCAAATATTTGGAGGCTCATGTGTTCTCACATTCTTGTAAAGCAGAAGTGTTTTCGTTTGAACCTACACACACATATATATATATATATATAATTAGAATTCACACACTATTTTTAATAAAATTAATTGATAGAAAAACATGGGACGTTAAGAATTTAGGATGAACTCCCCTTTCCACAAGCATTTGCAGAAAGTTATTCAATCCAATTAAAACATGTCGATCATAATTAAATATATATCCAATTTTAATTTGATCGGATCGGATCCAAATTTTCAACATTCAAATTGGGTCAGTTGGTAATTGGATGACAATCCGACATCCAATAAAATCGAACCAATCCAATCTAATAACCATTCAATCATCATCCAAATACCATCAAATTAATAACTATATAATATTATTAACATTTTACGATATTGTTTTTTAGTTGATCTTTACATGTTATTTTTTGATAATTCAAGAAAATATATGAATAATTGGTTGAAATGATGAATTAATTGGTTGAAAATTAGATCAAAGTATTTGTTGAATCCAATCCAATTCAGTTGATAATGAATAGTAATATTCAATTGATGGAACCGATCCGGTCCAATTATCATTGGATTGGATGTTTAGTGTTAATTGGATTGAATCAAATGACAAAATTCAATATCTAATAAGTGATTGGATCATAACCGAATCCACCAAAATTTGTTCGATTTCAACAGATAAACACTGTTAAGCTATTTAAAACATCTGATTATTAAACTAATTTTTATTGAATTTGCTGTCATATAGAAAATATATTAGATTAATTTATCATTAAGTAAAATAGTTATTATTTAGAATCTAGAATGTTCCTTCCCGAATTATCTAGAATCAAAACCACTCATTCACAACAAACCTTCCAAAGGGAGCACTTCAAGAAACCATGGGTCTAGAGCGAACTTGGTTTCCATGGGTAAGCTCTTTATTTGCCACGTTTCACTCT